CCCTTGTGCGGAACATGCTGGAGCATGCTGGAAGGGGCCCCCCTCACCCTCAACGGCCCAGGGATCGAACCCCCTGCCGTTTCATCGGGGTCATTTCGAATAGAGGAGGCCAAACAACAGCACTGGCCGACTTCCTCTACTTCAAAATTGAGGTGTCGAGTGTGCTCTTCGCGTGGGAAATGAAGAACCGTCCGGATAAAGTGTGTGAAGTGTGATGTGGGACTCTGCATTTCCAGATCTTTCCAAGATTTCCACACGAAGCCAACATTCGGTTAGACGACACAGGTGGGAAGAGAGACAACTTATAAAGCTGGTGACCAAAAATCATGTAAGTAGAAAAAGAATTTATAACTTAAAATTAGATTTTAAAAAGCCGGCCGCACGTGTGGACTGCGTGATGACATATGGCGTCATTCATCCCCTTGACTTTATTTTAATGACGCCATATGGCGTCGCTCGGCTCTTAAAGGTTAATCACGTTAAACCACTGCACTGCCTGCCATCAAGTGTCCATTTATAAAATGATATAAAATGTGTGTTCATCGTTGTTCAATAATAAAATTTATATATTAAAACTTGTTAAGATCTATCATCTTACAGGTCATATACCAAACTCGTGTGTAATGCCATTCATCCACTATGGGAGTCGTTCTTCTTATGTTTTAATTGTGTATATACTGTGTCTTATTATGATGTGTCTTTCTTATGTGGCTGCATGCGTTGTATTGCTGGACGTATGTGTGTGTGTCAAGTGTGAAGTGACAAATTAAACTGTATGCACTAAAAGACAGTTAAAATATTTTTATTTATTCTCTACTTTGCTGCTGTTATCCCTTACACTGACCAATGTTTACAGCTGTGGGAGGTCATACGTGTTATCTGTCAATGTCGTCAATGTCAGTGCTAACATACAAAACTATATGCAAAACATTAAAATATTAAAGCACTAAATTATTAAAATGTTTCATTTGTTGTGGTGTTGTGCACATTTATCTTTCTTTCCTCTTGTAGGTTGATCTGGTTGTGGAAGGCGTGTCTGCAGGAGTCAACAAGATCAACCTACTACAAGAGAAAAAGAAACATAAACACAAACAATTCCCACATATCACGTGGAATACATAAATCTAAAAACCAACACAAAACCAATATTTCAGTTCATGCAAAATGGGACCACTTCTGCTGTGACCAACAAACACTACTTAATAACACCATCTACAACAATAAAACCATTAATATTTTAATATTTTAACATATAATTTTATATGCTGGCATTGAAGACACTTCTGCAGAAATCCAGTAATAAACATTATTTAATAACACTGCAACAGATAAAACATTTTAACAATTTAGTACTTCAATAATTTAATGTTCTGCACAGTTTTACGTTAGCAATAACACTGACAAATAGCATGTATGACCTCCCACAACTGTAAACATTGGTCAATGTAGGGGAAAACAGGAGCAAAGTATAAATATTTTACCTGATAATGGCTGTAAGGGGCCAAAACATGTTGTAAAATAATATAAATCTATGAAGTTTATACATAAACTGTGGTGACAACACCAATGTTAAGTTGTTCGCGCACAATGTGATGCTGAAATACCATATCCATACCATATATGATATATCTCTTAAAGAGATCTATCACCCTACAAAATGTTAAGGCCCCACAGTGACTGCTGCTAGTGCTACTCCCATGTTTCCATGAAGCAGTGAACCAGCACTTGAGATTGATCGCTTTATTATCACAATAAAGCCCAAAGTGGGGAGATGGAGGAAGAAAACTGGTGAGATACAAGTACTTCATATTATAAATTATTCTTTCAAATGTTAGTCACAAATGTGGCTATACTGAGACTTCGTGTTATTATCCCCAGTCCTACTAAGTAAATAAGTTGTGAATACTTCCATATGCCTTCTTGCTAACACTGATGACCATTCTCTCAAGTTAGCTGATGCTACAGCCTCCTCTTCAGCTGACAGTACTAGCAAATAACTTACAAATCAATCCTTAGACCAAAGAACTACTGTAAAAGCATGTGTAACTTTCATTCTCAGGGTTTAGATGCTAGTATACACTGCAGTTGACATCTTCAGGGTAACTGCAGCAGGAGACTGTGGGTTGACACAAAGGTCTCATGGTGGAAGTTATGATGAGGGTGTGGACTGTGATGATGCTGGATAGCCAAAACACTGAAACAGCTTCAACATATGACATGGCTAAAACCTGCAACCAAAGTTACAGATCCGGAAAAACCTAAGAATAAAAGTACTGTAAAAAAAAAAAGCAGTTATGATTTATTCACTCAATAAATTAGTAGTCTCTCACTTCAATATTGCCTGTGTAGAAAAAGTGAATGATGTCTCTCAAAGCAGAGAATTCCATTCCTTGCATTACAATTCGATCCTGTGTTGTTTCATTCAACCCAGAAGTGAACATTGCCCTGTAATCAACATAAAAAGCATTATTAAAAAAATGTGTGACGTAAGTGTATTAACTTGAAAATAAAAGCAAACCTAAAATTACAGATTATGAACTAACATAAAGTTGTCTCTGTGCCTAATTAAGCACCACACCATGAAGTCATGTGGAAGAATGGGTATACTCGTATAGTTCCACACCCATTCTTAACCTCAGCACTAGATGGAGGTGAGTGGTCAGCTTTATGCCCTGGCTTCTTTACTCTCTGGGAAGGAGCCCCTAGTACCCACTACATAGGAGGCTGGGTGGGCCTAAGAGCCAGTCTGGACATAGCAGAGAACAGAAAAATCTCAGCCTCTATCTGGAATAAAATCTCAGTTCCCCAGATATTCCAGTCTGCAGCTTAAGACATTATACTGAGCTACATGCACTATATAAGTTTGTAACATTTCAAGAAATTAAATTATTAACTACTTCTCTGGTTAGAAATACTTCCCAGAGGTACTGAACCGTTCATGAAACTCAAATCATAACCTGAAAGAGTTCTATCTTCTGAGATGTAACACTGTGCAGTTCGTAAAAGTCAACCAATGTTTCAGACGATCATATTGCCTCCATCTTCAGGGTCAACAGACAGCTAAGGAAGAAACCAGCATCTACTAACACCAAATTTCTTGTTTTAAGTATCAAGAATATGTTGACATGGAAAGGACATGTCGACTGGCTTATGTCTAAATAAGGTTCGACCTGTTATGCAATCAGGACTCTTAAACCTTATATGTCACAGGAATTAATAAGAATAATTTATTTCTCATATTTTCATTTTGTTATGGCTTATGGTATAATTTTCTGGGACAATTCTCCTGATAGTATTCCTATTTTTTGGCTAGAGAAAAGGGTAATTAGAATTATTATTAATTCTAGAAGTAGAGGCTCTTGCAGGGAATTGTTTAAGAAGCTGAAAATTTTGCCCCTCTAATTACAGTACATATTTTCTCTCTTGTTATTTATGATTAAAAACAGAGAACAATTTAAATCTAAGATACAGAGCATTAATAGAATAAACAATAACAACTTCCATTATCCAATATGTAATTTAACAGTAATCCAAAAAGGAACATATTACTTTGGAATGAAGGTTTTTAATAACTCCTTTCTTGCATTAAGAATTTAGCTCATGACACGAAACAATTTTGATTTACTTTAAAAAGATATCTACCAAGCATTCATTGTGTAGACTTATTAGACGTCCAAGGAGCTTCTCAAAACTTGCTGTTGGCAGACACTCTAGGATCCATCAGCAAACTGAAGGTCATTCATGTGGTGTATCCTAAGTCAGTGTTGCACCCTCAAGTGTTACAGAAGCTTTGTATAGTTCTCTGTTCTGTGTCTTTATGGCTTGTGTGAGATTATGTTTAGAACAGTTTTCATTTATGATTGTTACATGAAAACAGACTCATACAGATCATGCAGGAGAAAATTTTGCTGTAAATTTCCTGAAACAACATGTCCATCTGGAGATACAATTTCCAAATTAGTCAAGAAAGTTCAAACCAACAGCATTTTAACTGACAGAAGGGCGTTAAAAAGAACTTGTGTTTTAACTGAGGAAAAACTTGATGATATTAGTCATCAATTAGAAAATTCTCCTCAAAAATATTTGCAGCGAATAGTACAACAAAGTTGTGTTTCTGTAGGCAATGTGTGGACAGCAACTAACTGTTGCATATTCATCCATATAAAATTAGTGTTGTTCCTGAAATTAAATCTATGGATTATGAAAGAAGAGTGAGGTTTTTTAACTGGTTTAGCAATGATGTGCATGATGGACTTCTTGGTCCTAAGCTGACATTTTTTACAGATGAGGCTAATTTTAATCTCTCGGGATATGTTAACTCACAAAACAACAGGTACTGGAGTAGTGAAAATCCTCATGTGCTAATTCAACTTCCCCTTTATGACAAAAAGATAGGCGTATGGTGTGTGATTAGCGCAAACTGTATCATTGGGCAGATATTTTATGAAGGAACTCTTGACGCTGAACGATACATTAATGAACTACTTGAGCCATTTTCCGTTAATTTGGCATCTGCAGAAGACAGATTCGGTTATTTTATGCAATATGGTGCGACTCCACACACAGCTAAGGAAACTATTTGAGCATTACATGGTGTGTTTGGAGTATTAAATGGAAACGATAGAATTATTAGCAAGGGGTTTGGCCCCCTAGAGCCCCAGATCTAAATACTTGTGATTATTATTTGGGGGGAAAACTAAAAAAAGTTGTTTATGCGAACAATCTACATGACCTGGAGGCTCTAAAATAGAATATTCATGAAGCAATTTACAACGTTCAGCAACGTGAAGTGCAACAAGTTTCTCAAAATTTGTTTAAAAGAATTCAGGCACGTCTCACAGCAGAGGGCAAACATTCTGAACATCTTCTATGATGGTGAGTACAATATTACGTTAATAATTAATGAAAGAAGTAAACAATGCGTGCTACTGGTTCCGAATGCCTACAGGCATTTCTTCTTGGCAGGTGACACATCGCTTTCACAGGAAGTTGAGGATGGTAAAATCAGTGTCCAATCAGCCTGTGCTCTGAACATGGTGTACCTTTAATTTCATTTTAATCATTGGAAAAATATTTTAACTTCAATGTTAATTACCAAACTTGGTCTATTATACACTAGGTGGCTAGTAGTATATTTTTATGTTTAATTATTGTAGTGTTGTTTGATAGTAGTATGTTGCATGCTTTCATATAAATATTTTATAACTATTTAACGATTTACTCATTGTGATTTGTCTAGGATAATATGTGTAATTGTGACAGATTAAGTATAATTAATTTGTATTTATGTACAGGGGAACCTTGCTTAACGAGCACCTCTCATAACAAGTAATTCGCATAATGAGCAATACAGATTGTAAAAAAATGACTTGCTTAATGAGCGACGTTTCACATAACGAGTGATGAGAGGGGAAGTCCCGGATTGTGCGCTTGCTACATCAGTCTGTGTTTAGCACTCGTTCTGCTAGCATCTTAGTGTTGCTTGTGATCACACATTTTTCCAAACTTGTGTTCAGACATATTATTTTTGATTTTTTTGTGCAAAGTTTAATAACCCTTGTAAAAATGTCCCCAAAGAAAAAGCCGCAAAAAGACAGCCATAAGAGAATAAAAATAACTGTAGAAATGAAACGTAAAATCAATGAAAAGCGAGAACGAGGTGTGAGCGTGGCTGATCTAGCACGCACATACAATCGGTCTACATTAACGATTTGCACTATCCTCAAGAACAAGGACAAGATTATGGAGATAGATGCTTCAAAGGGAGTGACAAGAATATCTACACAACGGTTACGTATTCTCGATGATATTGAAAGGTTGATCCTCATATGGATAAACGAAAAGCAATTGCAAGGCAACACTATTAACGAGAACATCATTTGTGAGAAGACGAAAGTGATTTTCGCCAGGATTATCAACGGCCGAAGAGGAAGCATTTAAGGGAAGCTGGGTGGTTCGAGAACTTTAAGAGAAGAACCGGCATCCACAGCATTGTAAGGCACGGTGAAGCAGCAAACTCCAACACAAAGGCAGCAGAGAACTTCATCGGCGACTTCAAGAAGCTCATAGATTCTGAGGGTTACCTGCCGCAACAGGATTTTAATTGTGACAAGACGGGTCTTTTCTGGAAAAAGATGCTGAAGCGAACCTATATAACAGCAGAGGATAATGCATTGCCCGACCATAAGCCAATGAAAGACCATCTTACGCTGTTATTTTGTGCCAATGCAAGCGGTGATTTGAAAATTAAACCACTGCTTGTTTCCCATTCAGAAACTCCACAAGCCTTCAAGAAGTGTAAAGTCTAGAAGAGCAGGCTAAATATGACATGGAGGTTCAACAACAAGGCTTGGGTGACATGTGAACTTTTACTGAGTGGATCAATGAAGTGTTTGGTCCTTCCGTGAAAAAATATTTGCTTGACATGAATCTGCCACTCCATGTCTTGCTTGTTATGGACAACGCTCCTGCCCATCCTCCAGACATACAAGATGACCTCCTTGAAGAATTTAAATTCATCAAGATCCAGTTTCTACCTCCCAACACCACTCTGTTACTCCAGCCTATGGACCAGCAGGTTATTTCTAACTTTAAGACGCTGTACACTAAATCACTCTTCGAGCGTTGTTTTGAGGTGACTGAAGGGACCAATCTCACTCTCAGAGAGTTTTGGAAATATCACTTCCACATCGTTGCCTGCCTCAAGATGATCGAAAAGGCATGGGAAGGGGTTACCAAAAGAACCCTCACTTCTGCTTGGAAGAAGCTTTGGCCAGAGAGCGTTGTCGAATGTGACTTTGAGGGGTTTGAGATAGTACCTGTGGAGCCTGTAGTCAACGACATTGTGTCTTTGGCCATGATCATGGAGCTGGAGGTGGATAACAATGATATCGATGAGCTTGTGGAAGAGCACAGCTAAGAACTGACCACCGAAGAGCTTATGGAGTTGCATTGTGTTTCAAAGCAAGAAGTTGTGGAGGAGAGTTTGTCAGAGGAGGAGGAGGTGGTAACAGCAAAGCATCAATCTTCTGGCGCAATAAGAGAAATGCTGAAAGCATGGGAAACTGTTGCATCGTACATTGAGAAGCATCACCCTAATAAGGCAGTGGCTATGCGCACTACAAATTTATTTAATGATAATGCTGTGTCGTATTTTCACCAAATTTTGAAGAGTCAGCTGTCTCTAGACAGCTTTCTAGTAAAAAAGAATTAGATATGTATCATAAATAATAAACTAATTACTTCGATTTTTTTTTTTCTGCAAATCGAATTCGCATTCCAGGTTGGTTCATTCCGCATAGAAGAAAAGATGAAGAGATTCACGCTTCTTAACAATCTATATATAATTTTCTTTGATTAAACGTTATACATAAAATTTTTTGAGTATTTTTTTCGGCATGGAACACATTATCGTATTTTACATTAATTTATATGGGAAAAATTGTTTCACTTAACGAGTGTTTCGCATTACGAGTAAGATTCTGGAACGAATTATGCTCGTTAAGCAAGGTTCCACTGTAATTGATGTGACTTGTCTTGTTGTCATTCACTGTTCCTATGCCCACTGGTATTCCAACCATGTAAGGATCTATGGAATGTAAATGAATGAATGAATGTAGCAGGCACCTTCAACTCTGAAGATGGAGACGATATGTTCCTCTGAAACATCAGTTGACTATCACCGGACTACACAGCAATATATCCCAGAAGATAAACTCTTTATAACCACTGCTGTAAGAACCTCAAATCCTAAATAACTTGAAAATTCACCAAATATTTGAAATTTGCCAAGTCATTTTTAAGTCCATAAAACTGCTAATATTTCATCTTCTCATCAACAAATGATAACCTTACACTTCCATGTGGTCTCTTTCTGACCAATGAATGCATTTCATTCATGAGTATACACTAAACATGATAACAGTGTAACAGCAGAAACTTGATGCCATTCAAATGTAGCTGTAAGTGCGTGTGGTGTGCCATTTATAGAAGTCTTCAAGAGGTTAACAAAATGAGAAACATTCATAAAAAGTAACAGTGGTATAAATAGCAGCTGAGCTTCACTACCATTCTTACATTTAGAAAGCCCCAGATTAGTTGCACAATGAAGAAAGCAGTCTTCTGGGATTTGGCACCGTGTATATGTGGTGTTAACCGACGTTTCGGAGGAACGTATCGCCTCCATCTTCAGGGTAGAAGGAAAAATATAAGAAATCCGCAAGCAAAGAGACCGTGAGAACCGGTGCCAAATCCCAGAAGACTGCTTTCTTCATAGTCACTGCCGTGAAATCCTCAAATCTTACATAGTTACACAATCTTAAACTTTGTTATCTTATATACCAACAGCGTCGCACTCAAACCCCTTACACTGCCACTATTCTACTTTGAATGAATTAAAATAAAATGTTCTACTTTCTAAAAACCAGACACTAATAGAATTAACACATTCACTGCTAAAACCAGTACATAGCACATAACTGCTTTTACAACTGGGCCAAACAATGATTATCTGTATCTCCACTGGATGGTAACAAAGTCCTGTTCCTTCTTGATGACCATGTTTGGAAATACAACCTCTTTATTACAACCGTCACAACACAACAAATATCAAGATCAGTGCCTAGTTTGGCTCTGCTACATGTTTCGGCTCTCAGTAGCCATCGTCCGGCAAATACACGGTTAACAAATATATACCACTGAACTGCAGTACTAGTAAAATTTGATACAATGCTATTAATAAAATAAAACACTTGACATAAAAATACAATAAATAAGATTATATAGAACAGAAGTTATAGTATAAAACAAGAATAAAATTCTTAGATTTATGTTTTATATCATCGAACCAATCTTTGATTTTGTAATTTCGTCGTGTTCCCACGGATAAATTGCAATATTCTATATTTTTTGTATATAAAATTGTATAGGAGGCTCGTGATGCAGATGTTGTAAATTAATGTTAACTGTCGGTGCCTCATCTTACAAAGTACTGTCTGTTCTGTAGGGAATGTAAACAATGTAAAAAATATAAGAGGAAAAAAAGTTTGGAAATGCTACTGAATGCACTGATATTTGTGATTACAATTAAAAGAAACCATCTGTTAATGATATTGAAATGTGGTACTTCTATATATGGGCACAGGGGTTAGTGAATGTGTTAAAAGAGATGTCAAATATTGAATATGGAAAGTCTGGGCATAAATGAACAAATTACTAGATCACAATGTAACTAATTTGGTATGTATATATTCAAGGAGTCATAAATTTTATGATCAGAACTAAGTTCTGATGCTCTACTCTGCAAATGGATAGTGTAAGCCTACCTGAAATACGGAGATGCAGATGCTAACACAAGTTTATGTGCTCTAATCTCATCTTCGTTCACCACAATTGTTATGTCACATAAACAATCATTCTTCCGCAACTCAAAAAGAGTTTGCAGTAAACATGTTGGATGCAGGTCATCATGGAACTCATAAGGCGCAAACATTGTTCACCTGTAATTACATGTTAGCCAGTACTAACCCTCTTGTTCATCCATTCACACTTTCAACTAACACTCAACCCCCAGCGTCATGAGATAGTGTAATATGGTCATGAGTCATGCAGGTCCCAGAGCAAAGAATAATTGTGCTGCCAAGGACTGGCAGGAATTTGTCCTACCTGACTGACCACAGACACTAATCCTGCAGATGAAGACTGTAATGTTTGCCATAACAGAGCGCCTTCAACATTCTGCACAGTGCATTCACAAAGTCATACATATAGGTATATAGTTATTACAGGTAAGCCTATTTACAGAAAACTTTAATGACATTATATAATATAGATGTAACAATAGCATTTTTAGAAAAACACAATATACTTAATAAATCTCAGTTTGGATTTATGAAAAATAAATGTACTAACAATGCAACTGCCACAATTGTTATTTTCACTTCTACATGGATCGAATGATAAGTAAGAATCAGTGTTCAATCTAACTCTGCTTTATTATGACTAACTTTTGATACACAAGGGCATTTTATATATATTCACACACATAACCATAGTAACACATAACAGTAGAGAAACTAGGAACAGCACATGTAGCACAGTCTATTATTGAAAATTGTTTACTATGATGTTGCCAACTCTAGCATTATATTTTAACATTAGAGAGTTGCCAACATAACAAATTATTGAAAACATAATAGAAAATTTGAATGATAAAATAAAATGCAACTGTGTACTATTAGACTTATCAAAAGCATTTGACTGTATTCAACATAACATTCTCATGGATAAATTATACAAATATGGAGTCCGTGGCATACCACATAAGCTAATCAAATCCTATCTCAGAAACAGAACTCAACACGTACAAGTAACACACTTAGAAGGCAATCGTATGAAAGAATATTTGTCAAGTAGCCTCCCAGTGAGATAGGGAGTCCCCCAGGGATCGGTCCTTGGCCCATTACACTTCATCTTGTATATAAACGATATCCCACATCTAACACAAGCAGATCAATACTGTATGCTGATGACTCATCAATACTGAATGTAGGGCAAGACATGAATGAGCTCCAAAACACGACTTCAAATAATACAGGAGTGGTAGAGCAATACTTTGAGACAAATAATTTATTTATAAATCCATCTGAAACTCACTACATTCTCTTCCAGACAAAACAATGCAGGCAGGAAAGTAATCTAAAAATCCTAATAAAGAACAGGGAAATATAAAATGTAAAAAGCACAAATTTCCTGGGGGTAGTAATAGATAGTACCTTGAGCTGGGAATTACATATCGAAAAAAACGTGCAGTAGAATTAGCCGTAACCTGTTCATAATTAACAGGTTGTCTAAAATACTTGATTTAAATGAAAGAAGAATGTTGTGTTACAGTTTGATCTATCCTCATCTATCTTATGGAATAATATTATGGGGACACAGTGCTAAGACCCTCACTAGATGAATTTTTGTACTCCAAAAAAGGGCAGTAAGATACATTGCAGGGCTAAAACATCTGGAATCGTGAAGGGAGAGCTTTAGAAATCTCATGATACTAACAGTATACTCGCTATATATACAAGAAACAATCCTATATGTAAAAAAAAAGGTGTAACCGCACAGTGAATGAACAAATACATACATATAACACAAGAAATAATAAAGCCTATCATATACACTATGGGCACAACTTAGAACTTTATAATGGTAATCCTTCAGTAGCTGGCTATATCTTTTGCAACAAATTGCCTAAAAACATAAAAGAAATAGAAAACAAAAATCAGTTCACGAGGGAATTGAAGAAGTTACTTATTCAGAGGTGCTATTACTCAACGGAGGACTATTTGAACGATGAATTCTCGAATACTGACTACTGATATAAGCAGAAATATATAGTATATAGTTTATAATGTATAAAATGTTGTATATCTTATATAATTTTTCAGTATGAAGACTGCTGTAATTTAATCATGTATATTAGCTGAAAGACTTGTCCTATATCATTGTATCATGATCTACAGGACTAATAAAAGAATGAATGAATGAATGAAAGTTAAAAATATTTCTACCTAAGTTTAACAACGCTTACTTCTTTATGGCGGCAAATTCTTTCTTGGACAAGAGAGATGAACTTTTTGTGCTGGCTTAAATATGTTTATATAATGAATTAAACTTTTGATGGCAGATGGAAAATTCTGAAGAACCAACTTCTCTGTGGTACATCTCTTCCTGATACCTAGAGGCACGTGGAGTTAATCTTTATCTTGTGTCTGTTGTGTATATAATAATTTTTCTTAAATATCTCGTTATCCACAACGAAAGGCTATAACGAGAGCAGAAATTCACTCGCAAGAGGAAGAATATTCATTTTCATAAATATTCTTTCCACGGAAATTTAAGATTCTCTGATTGGCTCACACTTATGCGATTCGATTAATTGCGATAGGTGTGTTATAATCGATTCAAATCATTTCCAGACTATATAGTTCATGTAGGATACGTAGAGATGGCAGTTCTGCATTATGCCTTTATTCGAGTTTCATTCCGGTGTTTGTGAATAATTGGTTTGGATTTTGCATACTTCGTTTACATTCATTTGTAGTTTGGTGTCGTGTCGCAGTATGTTTCCAATTTCCCTATCCCAGATACATTGTCTTGGCTTTTACATGATATATTACAAAAAAATAGTAGTGATTGATCACAACATAACGCTTCCGTTATGTGCAGCTGAATTGTTTAATATTCTGCTATTACAAACATGAAATGCCTCCCTGAATTTCTCTTCAAATTGCAATAATTAGATGCCATTTTGGTATCCCTGTTTACTGCTTTTGTATGTGATGGTCATACAATGTAGACTGGCCTTGAATTTAAACTTCCCATTGTAAAAGATAAGATTTTAGCTTCGAATATAGCAATGATACTGTTGTATGAGCCACCTGCTTATGCTGGTTCCTCGCTCGCGGATTTTTATACCCCGGAGATGGAAGCCGTACGCTCCTCTGAAACGTCATTTCGCACAAGATCTACACGGCGCCACATCCTAGAAGGCGGCTTTCTTCATAGTCACCACTGTGAATACCACAAATCTTACAATTATATGAATCGTTCACAGATCTTTCTACACAGCTAGGAAATTAATCTGTTACAATAAAATATGTTCCATGTGATGTCCCCAAAGATGCCCAACTGTATGCAAACAAAAAAGAAATTGTTCAGAACTTTGATACAGTTTCTGTGGAAATGGCTTTTGATCTCCAATCTGATAGCTGTTTTCAGTTCTAAAACTGAACAGATTTTCCTCAAAGTCAAAGTCACATCATGACTGATGGTCAGTTAGTCAGTAAGTCTTCCATCTGGGGCTCATGACCAGATATTTATTAGTTTGACATTTACGATCTTGCTTTTGTGGGGTGCCCTCTCTGACCAGTGGACGGGTCTGTCTCTTATATATGCTGCTGGCCCTTGACAGTGCAGTCTTTCTCGGGTCCAAGTCCCGTGGGACTCACAACCATATTTTACAGTCTGATTTGAGATTTCCCTTTTTGTCACCTCCTACAACTCGCAGGGTCATGGTGGATGTATCACCGACCAACGTGATATTCAAGACAGCTGTTTGTCCTCCAGCAGTACTCTGTACTCCCTCACAAAAGCCTAACATCCACTATTTCATCTTCCAACAATACTGAGGCATAAATTTTTTACCGAAAGACTCAATTTATGCATTTAAGAACTCTCAAGTGCACAATAAGGATTCTTACTGAAGAATCAGACGTAAATTGTTATATGCAAATTCAAGGAATGTGTCTGGCATCAATGTATGCCTCATGATGACCCAGTATAAGGGTTGAAACATGTAGCTTCAATAAAAACAAATGTTGATACGATAGTGTTTACTTTATTTTAAATACAGAATATTGTTGTGTAGACTGCATACTTTTGTATGTACCTTGTTTATGACACACAACAGGATGCATGCTATTAAGATTCTAACAGTGGCTGACTCAGCTCCATTCTGTATAGACACAAGTCATTACAACAGATTTTCTATGTCTTGCTGGTTGAGACCCATGTCTGCTGTGCTAAACATCACAACATGATTTCTTGGATTCCTTGTTATTATCGGCCATGTTGTCGCAAGAACTTCTTCCATGTGAACAAAGGTGCTATGTTTATACGCACACTTCCTGTTTAACAATCCAGCAAATAGGTCTATTGGTGGTGCAACATGAATTATACAACCACCACCAGAAGAATAAAAGGTTCTAATGAAACGCCTTCTAATCTGTTGCCTATGATAACATCATGTTACTCAGTTCAACATTGATATCACCAACAAACTTCCCAAGTGTGTAGAATGATCTAAAGTTTCATGCAACTGCATTCAATAACAAATAAGTTACCCAAATTAAAATGTCAAACGATGAAAAAACAACCTGTGCCAAGTACAATATAACATAAATATTTTGCAGAAGTAATTGTAAATGACATTTAGTGAATGTGAGAACAAGAAGTCATATTCAATGTGCTTTATTTCAGACAAACTGGATGATTAAGACTATGATGAACTCTTTCCTTACAACAAATATTAAATGTACATGCAACTATTTATTTGGTTGACACTTCTCCCAATTGGTAAGGGGTCAAAACTACAGCCCATATTGAATGAATACTCAGTCCATGTTAAGGACCCATTGTTTGCAGTTACTGCACACATTAAAAGAAAGTTAAATACTTACTTGTGTAACTTGTTTAATATAAGGTCCATGCTTCAAAAGCCATATTGTAGCAAAATGTTATCTGATTTCAACATAGTCCAAACTGAAGCAAGACTGTCTTCTATTCTTTTCTTAATTGCAATATTTTGCTAGATTGTGGTGACACTTTCATTCACTTATTATCAAGAATAAGACACTTCAATAATCTTTGCTTGTGTCTCAAGTTGATTTTTGAATATATTTGAATGTTTGTAAATCTTTTAACTATCTTGAAAACTGCAAGACACATGGAAGAAGTGCAGTTACTAAAATGTTTGTTTCATTTTCCTCTTCAAGTTTTGTTTGAAACATCTTTTTCTCTGATGAGTGGATCTAAGAACATTTGGACCAAAGAGCTATGAAAAAGTACAAGGCTGGAGAAAACTGCATAATGAAAAACTTCACAGCTTGTAGTCTTTGACAAATATAATGCACGTCAAGGAGGATGGGATGGGCATGTAGCATGCAGTGGGGAGAAGAGGAATGCACGTAAGATTCTGGTGGGAAAGCCAAAGAGATAAACCACTAGGGGCAGGCACCTACACACAGATGGAAGGATAATACTGAAATTGATCTTAGAGGAGTAGGATGGGATGGTATGGACTGGATTTATTTGGCTAAGGACAGGGAAAAGTGGAAGGGTTCTTGTGAACACAGTAACAAACTACTGGGTTCCATAAAATGTTGGGAAATTCTTGACAAATTGAGCAACTGCTGGCTTCTCAAGAAATAATCAGATCCATGAGGTTAGTTAGTTGATCGAGATTTGAGCAGAAATTCTTGTAAGCCTTCATTAAAATTTCCACTTTTTTTTCTGATTTTAACCATGACTGGAATGTGTCAACAAATTTTATTACACTCCATTTAAAATTTAACGAAAATCTGTTTAGCAGTTCTCCAGTTTCATGACATAGTGAACAAGTACTCTGCAGGGATGTGAATGCACCTAAAACTTCTGTCAGAGATAATAGCTTGCCATCCTATTATTAGCAGCATGGAGGAAAACGGTATAAATTTTCAGACTTGTGGTTTAATGCTTAGCAAACACTTGTGGTATATCTTAAGACCTAATAATGCAAAGGCCACCAAAGTCTGTGGTGTTACCAACATACAGAGTACATGGGACAATGAAATATGATGCATGGTCTTGCATGTTGAATGTGTCAGCAATACACCCATAATAATAAAACAGAATAACAATATACCAAAAATAATACAATTGGTAAATTATCTAAAATAGTAATATCTGAAACAACCTACACACAATGAATCCTGATAATGGTTCTGCTTCTTGATGTTTTATGCTGAAGTGGATAACCTGAATATTGCAGGTCAATTATAAAGTAATGCCACCTCATTTGTACCTACACATAAACAAGAACCATGTGTGTCACAAAAAATTTCCCACATAATTCATGACTGAAATATAATTTCTTGAATATAAAGGCAGAATGAATTTTGACCATCTTCTGAAAGTGAAGTTCTAATATACTGAGATGTAGGAAATATGTCTGCAAAGCATGCAATAGATGGAGATCCACATTCAGAATAGGTTTCTTGTATGTAAACACTGACTGTAGATGGCAATGATGTTATCAAAAAATACTCAGTATCAGAGGGTTGAGACAAGAGCACATAGAAAGCATGCTAGTTTCTGTTGCTGACTGCAATTGCTTGTCACTGAGGTTACTTTCTCCAATTTACAAAAACATTTAATGATGCTCATGTAACCAGTTGGTACACATATTTTTCCAGTAAATCAGTAACTGCTGTCAGATGACTTCCAAGAGTTGGTATGGGCAGGACGTTACAGGGCAAAATGAAGCAGTACTTTCCTAATGATTTACTGATGTCAGTATCTTCAACTTCCTCTCTGTGGCCCTCTGCATGGCTGTTTTAGTCATCAACCTGTTTGTTTGCTAACACCATCAAGGTATGTGACTTCTTGTGAGACCTCTCACAATACCATATACTCTTTGTTGGTAGTGAAGCATTCTAGCAAACCCTGGGGACTTACTTTATAGCTAAGGTCTGAATACAAGCTAACAGTAACTATTACCATTTACAGTGCTAGGGATGGAGTTAAAGAAAATTCTCAAAATTTTATTGGTAAGCAAAGTAACTTCACCACTACACCCACAAAAAGTGGGTGTGTGGTGCGCCATTTCTGGTTTATGAATCACTGAACCAATCTTCTTCAACATGACCGTGGACAGCACCTTATACTGCTGTATTTTTTACGATTTCAAGCAGCAGCTGGATGATGTGGAACTTTCACAGGGTTATTTTCAGTAGGATTCAGTGACGTGCCACACATCCAACATGTCCATGGAACTGATTGAGAGCTTCTTCCCTGATCGCGTCATCTCTAAAAAGATGTGGCCCCCAAAATCCCCCGACCTTACCAGCCTGGATTTTTTTCTCTGGGGTTTACTGAAGGACAGGGTGTATGCAAACAAATCGCGTAAGTTACAGGATTTAAAGGACAACATATCAGCTGAAATCAGGAACATCATGAACAAACACTGCAGCGAGTCACAGCGAATATGCAGATGTGGGTGGAGGCATGCCTACTTGAAAACGGCGGACACTTTCAACACCTGCTCTGATCACGGCACACAATCCAAGATAAGATAGGTGTAAATTACTTTAATATCTGTATGGTATATTTTATATTACAGCTCATTTCATCGGGCTGGTTCTATATGAATCACCCTGTATAATAATGGAATATTACTTCACTGTTCACATCATCTAATGATGGATATAAAGAACAGCATCGATTCTGATCACTTAAAAATGATGAAGCATTTCTTAGCACTGAAGCACAAGTCACAAATATTTTCAGTGGCATACAAAACCAAAAGATTTGTAACTGTCATGCTAGACTGAAATATATTTAACACCTGCATGCTTCTATGCTACGTGATATGATGAAATGTCAGTGAGAAAATCTTACTTCTCAGTACAGTCTTTTTGGTCACTAACAGACTTATCAAGGCTGAGGCTTGACAGCCCAGCCAATAAATCACGTACACCTGTTTCTACTTCCTCTCGGGTGTTACTTAATGTAAGTCGTGATGAGAATGCACCCAAAAGTTCAGCTTCTGTGTCCTGACCACACTTGTGTAAGTATGTCAGCATCATTTCTATAACTTGGTGAGCCTCATCCTTCACCAATTTTGAGTCCTCTGTATTTGCAGCACTTCTCTGAAGTAATCTGAGCTTTGAATGGGCCAACTGTAATGGGCTTCGACCACAGTAGTCAATGCTGCTGACATCCGTGCCTATAAAATACAAAATCTGATTAAAACATAACACATACTACTTGTTACAAGATAAAAGGTAAAGTTGTACCTGTGCTTAATTAATTAAGGACTATGCCATGAAGATATATGGGGGAGCAGAGGTATAGCTCCACCATTCTTGACCTTGGCATTAGATGTAGGCGAGTGGTCAGCTTAACACCCCTATTGCTTTACCCCTGGGGAAAAAGCCTGTGGTACACATTGGATAGGAGGATTGGTGGCAAGCTTTCCTGAATTCCACTCAAGGTTTAAGGAAAAATGCCTCATGTAGGAAGATTAAAAAGAAAGAAGTGGCTATTTTATTTGTGAGTGTATCTTGTTGAAAACCTTGACACACTCATTTTTACTTTCAGTTGTGCACAACTCTGTTAAGGAAATTCCTGCACAGGCATACACACGCTTACACAGCACACAAAAATAGTAACAATTTCATACCATGTAAATGGTATCTAACAGTGGGACATCATATATGTAAGACATGGCAATAATTACAAATTACAATTTCTGCACACAAAAACGACAAAAGGATTTCTCATCCTTCAACTTTCACTGCAAGTGATAAGAACTATCCGCATTAACCTCGCCTATCCAGCATCACCTTTTTGTGCATTTTTTTGTAACTGCTGAAGCTCTAGAGACTGAGTTGAATATTTCATCAGGTGTAGGGAAATACCACTTAAGCCTGTCCAGACACTGACAGGTACCACAGGATTGCTGCTTCTGGACTAGCAAGCAATTAGCAGGAAATCTTGTTTTCAAGTTTCATAAGGCTATTAACTAGAGAGTTGCTAGTTATGATGAGCCAGGATTGAATGTGGCTAAGAATACATATAAAAAGGAGGACACCCTCTATTTGGACACATGGAATGTATAAGGAATTTCATTTTAAGGAGACCAGCTGGAAGACCAATTTGACAAGAAAAATATAATTTAAGTGATTCCTGAAAGAAACAAGGAACTAAAGGGTTCGAAAGAAACAATTACATTCAGATTTATAAAGGAGCAGAAATTGCTGACAGCGCCCAAGCCATCATGATGGTAATGATACATCACCTCAGTCCATAACTATCATACACTATTTGGAACAAATTCAAAACTGAAGCATGGCCCACAGTTACAAGAAGTCAAACATCCCTCTGATAAAAAAAAGAATGGGGAAAAGGGTTCTTAAAAAAATTATACAACTAAATCAGACTTCTTAGTACTAATTTGAGGGTTAATGTGAGGACAGGCAAAAACAGAATCAAGGGTCACATTTAGTGACATCATCTGCAACAATAATGGAAAGAAAAAGAGATTTCCTTATAAATGTCGAAGGGTTCTGACAATGGTGTATAACATTAGGAATTACTGAGTGTTTTGACTTTGTCCATCATCTGGTGTTCTAAATAACACAAAATTCTGGAAACTGCATCTGTTCCCATCCTCAGGTGAGAAAGTAGAAAGAGTTAACCAGTGATTGAGACTAGCTCTCTCTCACAGATCCAAAAGAGTAGGTGTCCCCACCCCCTCATGTGAGGACAAAAGCAGGTCCCATTTCCAAAACACTGTGTTATTTATAATACTGGATTACGAAGAAAGTCCAAAAACCCAATAATCCCCAGAGATTGTGCTTTGTACAATAAAATGAAAATAATGAATACATTTTTACATCAAAGAATATAAAATAATTTAATCAGCCAGAGGCTCATCATCCATCACTGATTACATAATCTCCAATGAAAGGACATCCGATATTCTGTTAGATGCTGAAGTTTATAGGAGCCCAGAGACAATTAGACCATTATTTGCCTGCAGCATCATTTATAATGGCTTAAATATGGCACAAAAAGTGACAAATATAAAGTTCAGAAAAGGTTTTCCACATGGATCTACTAAGACACCCAAGTATGAGATAGCTTTCAAACATGGAGCATGATACAATTCCAATAAGTAAATATCAGCAGTGACAGAGAAGAAGGCTAGGCAAACATAACATACTGTTAACTGATTTGATCAACTCATTGCCAGGCCAACAGCTCTGTAAACACGTGACAGTATCATAAAACAAGTAGCCACTACAAATGATGGTACTAAAGGGAATACACTACAGAGTGCAGAACACTTGCTATGCAACAACGTGAGATAGGCGGATATACCAGATCCGTATCTAGGCAGCGGTTTGGTAAATGTGTTCCTGCAGCAACAGACACAAACGCGACAATGGTACAGCAACAGAGGAATGGTTTTTTCTGTGGTCCATGGCAAGATGTTATAACTGGGATGGTCTGGGGCAACTAGTTAGTCATAAGACTATGCTCATATAGTGATAATGCTGAAACTCATGTCTCTTACCCATTTGGAGAAAGCCTTCAATAAGATTCTTGGCAGTTCTGGCAATGGATGGTATAACTGATCAGATCAAATGCCTTGTGCATTATATGACATTCAGTAATAACATTTCAGTAAAAATCAGGCCCTTATTTATCTGACTCGATACCCATCAACACAGGAGTGAAGCAAGGTTGAGGCCTCTCATCAATCCATGGATAACATACTGAAATGCTAAATAGAAGGGAACCATAAAAGAACACCCACCAACAAAAATTTCAACTTAGAAACTTGGATAATTTGCTGTGTAAGATTTTTATGGAGGTGACTATGAAGACTGCCATCTTCTGGGATGTGACGCCGTGTAGATCTTGTGTGAAACGACGTTTTGGAGGAACGTATCACAGGCTGCAGCCACCTGCTCATGCTGGTCCCTTGCTCGCGGATTTTTCTACCCTGAAGATTGAGGCGATATGTTCCTCTGAAATGTTGGTTCACACAAGACCTACATGGCACCACATCCCAGAAGACGGCATTCTTCATAGATAATTTGCTATCTGCAAATGATTATGTGATTACAAAAAAATCAATGGGCAGTAACATAATTCAGAAATAACTGTGGCAGTTACTTACAACTGAAGAAACAAAACTCATGGGTTTAACAGGAAGACCCTATTAGGAGTGATTCCAGGGTGCAGATCAAGCAGGGTGATGTAGCACTAAGGCCCTGCAGACTTGTACTGGGGAGGAGCTTGTTTCGAGTCTTGGCCAAAACCAATGTTTCTTCTGAGTTTCACATCAATACAAAATTAGAGACATAATTACAATTTTCTGTATCTGAATTTTTACATTTTCTAGATACTACAGAAGATGACAAAATATTCTGAATTGAACGGTAGCAAGCATTAACTAAATTTAACCCGTTCTTAAGTTTCTCATGAATGCAATTTTGACTTCTTAGTATCAGTCCCAAATAAATGAACTTTGCCTCATTTTTAAAGCACCTATTAATTACCTTCTTCTCACGCTTTCATCTTGAATTCTCGTAATGATACATCAACATTTACATAGTTTTCTCAGCATTTACTTCTAGACCAGCCTCCTTACTAGTGCCTACAGAACTGTTTTTTTTTGTGGTATTTACATTTTCCCCCATCAAATTATCATCAGCAGAGACAAAAACCTGATGTGCCCCATTTAATTTCAATCCTCCTTGTATTCTGGGACATTCCTAATAGCATATTGTGAAGCAAAGATGGAAACCAGTAAAAACAAACCTCATTTCAAACAAATCAGACTAGTTTGATGGCTGTACCATACTCAGTGAGAATACTGTAAAATATCCTATTGAATCATGGTCTTTCTTTAAGTCTGTAAATAGCTGAGCTATTGTTCCACTGCAGTCCCATTTTTTTATCTTGTAGCTGAAAAATGCATAAAATCTGATGAGCAGTTTCTGTATGTCAAAATTCTCACTGATGATACACAGTAATTTTGTCTGCATATGAAGTTAACCATGAGAGAATGTTGGACAACATTTTATATGAAGTTGGTAACAGTGATATGACTCAATAATTATTAACTGGTTTTTCACTCCTTGGGTTTACTCACCCTCTAACAGAAATGAGTACCAGGAATTAATTAAATGATTTTCCTGGAGAGTGAAGCACGGCCGGCGTGTAAGGCTGACAACCTTACCACCATCTTTGAGCCGACTGTCAAGGTAATGTGGGACCCTTAACATCTCACAACCCTATGGGCCTTCATGGCCTGTTACAGAGATAGCTTTACTTTTTTTTTTACTTTGTAAATAGATATAAAAACAGACTCCTTCCACTGCCAAGGCAATTTTTCCTTATTACAGATAAGATTAATAAGCTCTCAAGAGTTCAGTCTTCTGGCATATATCACCATTTAGTCTACTAGAAGTCGATCAATGTTTTGGAGGAACATTTCGCCTCCATTTCAGGGTTATAAAAAGTAAGCCAACCAAGTGACCAGCATCAAGCAGGCAGCAATACACATGATTAATAAGTTCGTTTATGGATCTCGAACACTGTTTCACTCCTGCTTGAATCGACTGTAAGACTATATCAATATCTAGCAGTTATTCCTTTCCATCTTTTCACCAGCAATCTCAACCTCAAGAACAAGAGGCTTCAGGTACTAGTGGCCCAGACAGCAAAATGAGAAGTAAAATTTATTATTATTTTCACCAGTGGAAAGTCATACTGAAATGTCCTACAGCACTAAAGTTCTTACATAATTGCAATCAACTTATTCTGTTTTTCAATTCAACATTACTACAAATATACAAATATAAATCACTCTGTCCAATGTGACCTGTAAGTTTCTTTACTACATGAAAACTTAACACCCTTACATGTTTCAGTCTCTGTGGACCATTTTCAGAGGGCAAACATCACTACAAATAGGAAACCACCATCACATAAGTTGTTTAGACGTAAAGTACGTACACTTATGCTACAATACATAGTACACAAAATAGAACATTTCACAAACACAGCAGTTTCCTGGGAACGTAAAGTTTTTTATAAAATTGTATAAAATTTCCTGATGCTAATTAAAAATTTTTTGGATTGTCAATAATTAAAATTCGTAAACCATGCAGGCTCATGTTCGTCCTCCCATCGTCCCTCTTATATGGGGCAGATAAAGTGCCACCTGGCTATCTTGATGTGGAGGTTCTTTATATCGTCCAGGCTTTGCTCATGGCTGCTGTGCTGTTTTCACAAATCAGACTCAACATTACTAGTTTCACATATTGTCTGAAAATATCATTTGCATTTATTATTGTAATTTAGAAAATAAATATTCTATATCTGTAAATTATGAGATTCACAAAACGTTTCTCAGCATAGTTATGCTCTATTTTGAGCTTCCATTTCCAAAAATATGAAAAGAGAAATCATAGCAATTTTGTGTCCACGTTTGTTCTATATACGGATATCCTACTGCTACTAGATAATCTAGTAACAGTGTTTTAGACTCATATTTTGGGATGTTCCCAGTTCAAATCCAGTCTGGGTCACAGGTTATCAAACTGATGTCTTCTACTGTTTCTGTTGCCAAATCATCAATCACCTAATACTCCTACTATCTGATGATACATGGTCTCTGATTATGGACGTGTCATAAAATAATTCACTCACTGTCATTGATGCATTTTGTGTTTTAAAATTTACAAAATAAATGTTAATTTTATCAGAAGGGGTGTAGGTTCCAAAATTAAGGTATAGCAAAAACAGTCATAATAGGAGCCTTACCTGCTTTAAGCAGTAAGGTGACAACAGCAACATTGTTGGTACATGCAGCAAGATGAAGTGGTGTGTTCCCCAAAGAATCTTTGCTGTTTGGATCAGCTCCTCTTTCCAGCAGCAGCCTGAAAAGTCATGCATCGAAAGCACACTTAAAATACAGTCTTGCTATGCCGTCCCAGATACAATACTGTCACACTCAGTATTTGTTAGTGCCATTCCTTACTCTAACAAAATCAAAACACTGTGAATGCGCTGAATCTTTAGCCCATATTAATGTCATCTGATGAAGGGTTTTATAATAACAATAGCAGTAACATACTGATAAAAATATATTGGTGAAGCGTTCTTGCAAAAGCTGAGTGCAGTCATTCCTTTTCAATGTATCACTGTACAAGACAGTACCTGTACCACTCACTCACCATCACAGGACAACCTGTGACTGAAGAGGCTTAGAATTCACAAACAAACAGTTCCAAGCAAATTCATAAAGCCTACTGTCCTCCTGCATACAATTTTTCATCCAGACCACCTCCAAGGCAGAACCAGTCTCCTGTTCAATGGGTGCTGGGGGCATTTTCCCCTGGGGGAAAATTGGCTGGGGCATAAAGCTGAACATTCACCTTAATCTATGGCTGATGTGAAGAATTGTGGAGTTATACCTCCACTTCCCCATACAACTCTTTTGGCATGATAATTAAGCATAGTGACAACCTTACTTTCATGATTTTAGTCCTGCATAACTTTATCTTATTTTTGTGAAGAACTTATTATTTACATGGAGAATTGCTTATATATATCATCTTGCTTGAACTATATCTGTGAAGAACTTTGACTGTTCTTTGGCTTCAACATTCACAAATAAAACCCTGGTTTCATCACCTGTTAATCATATGATGTGACTGAGAAATTCATCACCATCTTTGTGGTATCACTCTAAAAAAGTCAAAGATGAAGCCATTTTCTGCATTTTGTGCATACCCATGAGCATTTTTGGGACTCATCTTGTTGAAAGCTTGTGATAGCCTAGCCTAACCGTGATAATGTCACAGAGGAGAGTGTGTGAAATTTGTGGAAAATCAAACAAAAGTTCTGAAATTGTGAAGTGCTGACTTTCACCAGTTTTTGGTCAACACTTTGAAGATTATCTCACAACAGATGGCTGACCACTTCACTCTTCCACGTGAACATTTGTTCATCCATCTCTGAACACTGTATACCATTGTCTTACAGCTCCTTCACTCATTACATTTTGGCTGTAAACTGCCATGCATAATTTACAGTGGATTTCCACAGTACTCATGTTTTTTGCATGAAGAACGCATATAACATGGCAAATTTTGCAGTTTCCGAGATTATCAATCACAGGACACATCATAACTCAAGAGACAAGAACAAGTACAAACACTAGGTGAGGTGAGCAGTTATGTCACGGTTTATAAGGCAATGAGTTATGTGACACTACCTCACATGCGTGACCTCCACCTGCTTCTACATTAGTGGTCTAAAATAAACAGAGGTTACTTTCAGACTAGCCCTCGTACAAACATGATGCTTACAGAAAAAAATAAAAACTATGACAAACCTCACAATATCATGATATCCTCTGCATGCAGCCAAATGGAGGGACGATCTGCTCTGGTCATCTTTACAGTTAGGATTAACCCCAGAACGTAATAAGGTTTCCATCAAATTCACATTATTAGTTGAAGCTGCTAGGTGTAATCTGCGCGTATCTGTTATCAAAAATGAAGCAAGTTCATTCCATAACAAATCAAAAAGCGTTTTCTTTATCTTCATCATTTTTATTCTGTGGAAGAATATTTCCAATATAAATCATTATAAGTTAATGATTATGCATTCACTAGAATCACCTGTTGATCATCCAGTCTTTTATTTTATTAGTATTATTCTAGTCATGATTCTACTATTCTAGTCTAGTCACCTAAGCAATTTCTGTGATATGTTCAAACTGACATTGTTTAAATTTAAACTGCATGTTTTATTAAAGTAACTTATATGACTGGAATCTATTTAATTCTACATGTTTTGTTTCAATTTTGTATTTTATACTTTTTTATTTATGTATTTGGTTCTTGCTCTATTAATTTTAAGAATAATCACTGTATGGACATGTCCTATATCTCACTTGTATTGTGGATCCATGGAACGAAAAATAAATGAATGAATGAATGAATGAAAACTGAATTTCAGTTTCAACCACATAAACATCAACTTTCATGTATTTCACTAGTAGATATCCATGAAGTGAAGATTTTCCTACAGATTTCCTAAACCTTTGTTTTCTACAAAACATAATAGGATTGCTGAAATAATACAACATACTCATAATATGTCTGCAGAACCCTCTTCTTGAGAACGACAAGGTGGCACACGTTTGGCCCCCATCAAAAGAAATAATAAGAGGGACGACACGAACCAGCTTGGTTTAAGAATTCCAATAGAATCTTATCAAACTAACTATAAATATTTTAATGTATTGGAAGAGCCACTGTAGTTGTAAAGACTTTAGATTTTACACCCAACTGTATATTATTTATATTGTATGTACATATTTTAACTTTTAGAACATGTACTGTAATAGTGGCTTCTAACTGTATTGATGTAAAGGTGTCCCTCTGAAGATGGTCTCTGAAGACCGAAAAACGTAAGGGCACAAATAACTGAAATAAGAAAAAAAAAAATCTTAACCAGTCACACTAGATGGAACTATTTAACCTTTTCACAGTATACTCTCATAGTATAACCTCAGTGATGGTTCCAGTTTACAATACAAGAACTGTAAAAACTTCTTGAATTTATGTTATCATGAAGGTATATATGTAGCTACTGAGTGGAATTTTTTTGCTACTTTGCATGGCAAAAGTCTTTGTAATGCGACTGGCGAAAGAGTGTAGTGATTTGTAGCACATGCTAATCTTCAAGCAACTGAGATGAATAACATTTTAACACCAGAAGATTTATATGGGTTACAGAAAATGTTAAATGAATTACATTTTTCTATAAAACACAGGAATCTAAGTAAAACTGGAGGGGATGCAACACTACAATTGGCTGATAAGCCATTTTCATGGACATAAAGAGAACACAAATGCCATACTCAGTCCTACCACCATCTAATGTAGCCTTGAGCCTGCTGTTACACAGTTCATAAGAACATTGAGCACAGTGAGAAAGGAAGAGTATGGTTTAATTGTATGTCTATTGGTTGCTAATGTGAAGTAATTTGATCATTATGTTTACAAGTTCCAAAGCATGTTTCATTTACAAATGTCTGTTACAAGGAAATGTTTACTGTCTTCACATTTAAAAATTTATTTTTTGTTACTTCAATGAAAGGCTGCTCTGTTTAAATTTTTATCTCATATTATAGCATTTTCTTTATTTTGGATAAAAATTTCAGCCTCTTAAATGTAATCCTATATCAGATTTATTTTTTAAACACTTGTACAAAAGTTGTAACTGCCAAAATATTGCAGACACATCTATAAACTTCGAACCATTAGATTCCTTGCAAAAAATTACAACTGGACACCCAAGTTTATATTTCTTACTTTCTAAATAGCAGAGATATTTACATATTTGTGAACAAAATGGCCTACCCCATGCTAAAAAGTGCCTAAATTCATTAATACCTAGGGATTTAACAGCAATCAGAAATTGAAATTTGGGAAAACTTTTATTCATGAATGTTTGTAAAATTTACTTCCTAAATACTAGTGACGGCATTGCTGACTGCATTGTTCCACCACCATGAAAACCTCAAACCTCACACCTATACTGCATATGGCTGTCACCGAGCAGTGATAACACAAATATAAGGTGTGAAAGGGCTATAAAAGTTTGAAGCCATTACTTTTGAAACAGCCCGCACATTCTGGCTACATTAAAAACTGACAGAACACAAAAAAACAGGCAAGATTTGAGGTTCTTGTGGTGGTGCTTATCAACATTACCGTCTTCTGGGAGGTGATGCCATTAGTCTGGTCAGTACTTACCTATGTTGCAGAGAAACTTGCTGCCTATACCTTCAGGGTAGAAGGACACGTCTCTCTTATTTAGTTTACCCTGCCTCCCTTCTGCTTCACTTCTCTGCAACTTTCCCTGACCACTAAGTCAGCTCCTGTCAGTGCTTTGTCTTTTCTCACCTCCACAATGCCCTTGAACTAGGTCCTCTAGGGGCACTGTTTTTGTACTCCGTTGCTTCCCTTTACTTCCCACTGCTTCACATAAAGCTACTACTTTTCTCAATCTTTCTATCCGTGAAAGAAAAGCACTGTTTTCCTTTTATATAATATGAACTGCACAGAAAATGACACACTGAGCAATTCTTAAATCACTAAGTGTCTATTTGCTGCCTGGCAACTGTGCTGTTGCCTAGCATGACAGTGGGAAAGTAGGCACAGACACACAGACAACATGGCTATTTCATAAGCCTCATTATAGTTTTAAAAATAAGGAAAGCAGGCTAAAAATGAGCCTTATAAGGATCTAATACTCCCTCACTGTCAGTACTTCCATTCCCTGTAGCACTTCTTCCATGCTCGGAATACTCTTCTACCCTGAAGCCGGAGACAGCATACTGCTTCAAATTATTGGTAAATACCAACCAGACTACACAGTACCACATCCCTGAAGACATTTATGCCCCTACATAAGAACAGGAAATTGTATATACACCTCATCCAACTTCTCTATAGTTCAACAACTTTTAACACTATTACATGGAGGCAATTCAAACGCATTTTTAAATTCTATATAGGAATCTGTAGGACATAACATAAGATACTTACCAAAATATTCCTTGTGGTGGAACCATGCATCTCGACGACTCTTCAGATGAAAACGAAAGACTCTCCTCCTCCTCCTCTGCAAGTCATGTTGAATCAAAGAATCTGCGAAGAGATAGCACAACTGCTTGAAACATAAGCTCACAAAAATGAAGTTCTGCCATCATTTTGTAGTTTTCATTTCTTTCACTCAACTATTTATTGTAATTAAGAAACAACGTTCTAATGTTCACTGGATAACACATCAACAGATATTCTGACTTCAGAAAGAATACACCTTTGCAATAGCACCAACATTACACAAATAACAGCGCTACTTCTTCATGTGACAGGCTGAAAGTACTTCATCTTCTGTTCATATTCATATTCATATTCATATTTATTTCAAGTTCAGTTGATCCATACATGAGTTGAAAGTACAAACTGTTGGATATAGAACGTGTCACAAAGTAAATACTAGTCTAAGTTCCCAATCATTGGAACAGAGTCAAAATACCCGATAAGAACGATATATGATACAGTACACACATTATTAAAATTTCATTTAAATACAATAAGATAAAACCATAAATTAAAAGTACCAGTAACATATGTATTCAACAATGACTTT